CATAACAGAAGGGTTAAAGTTTCAAATCATACCATTTGAGAAATGAATAACAATTCACTCTTTCCACCAAACTCTTGGGCGAGTTTTCACATTTACAAACATGCTACAACATATTGTAAAGTTTTTTCAGAGGTATCTCAGACATAGTTGTAGTTGCTAGGCTATGAAGGACCAACTGGGTGAACCACTCTACTACATCCACCTTGAAGTTGTATTTGAACATCTATTTTAACTTAACTGTATGCTAAGTGAACTTTAAAAAATGGACAATGCCTTTCTATTGGTCAATAGTGGCCAGACAGTGCACATAGCACAACTGTTAGATCTTGCTAAAGCAAAGATAGAATCGTAAAAGATTCACATATGCACTAATATGCCTAAAAGTATCTAGAGAACCCTTCTAAATAGTGAATTCAGTCAGTTGCCCCCACACAGCTTGTATAACGTTCATAGAAAAGCATTGACCAATAGAAAGGGATGATCTGGAGCAGCTGCACATGAGCCTAAGGTTACAATGCCCAATGCAAGTTTTCTGGAGTGATGTAGCTCCATCCAGTACCTTTGGGTTGAGATGGAGTGATCCAGATCTAATCACCCAACATCAGTACCTGACTTCACTGATGCTCTTGTGGCTGAATGCAATCAGATCCTCACAGCAATGTTCCAACATTTAGTGTAAAGCCTTTACCAGAAGAGTAGAGGCTGTTACTGCAGCAAAGGAGCAACAAACATTGTATTAATTACTTTAATGAAGAAACACTGGATAAGTGGACATCTACAAGCAGTCTGTGCTTAAATAAACATGCTGCTAAATCCTGTGTGCATGAATTTGGACTGTTCAACTCATTGAATGTGCAACTTTCAGAATCAGAAACTCCACCTTTATTCTCTTCCTCACCTGCAGGTTAATGTGTGCTAATTTATTCAGAGGAGGCTCGTTTGTGCTAAGTTATTCAGAACAGGAGAAGGTGGCTGCTGGGAGATTGCTCAGGCCAATTGTCAACTTAGTTGGCTGGAAGTGGAAGATAAGCCACACTAATTTCCAAACCATTTCAAAGTCTAATTAATTCACCAAATCAACTGGGTGCGTGTTTGAAATTCTCAGACGAGGAAGAAAAGTTTGAGACTTGCTCAGTGGGCAGAGAATCCATGCACATTTTATAATGTATACAGACCTGGACAACTAATCTTAAGAGAAGTGTACATGTGTTATTTGAAGAGAAAGTAGCTATATGCCTGTGAAAGAGTTCATTTTTTGAGAGGATGGTGGTTCTATGATGTCCCATTCAATAATGTGTCAGTACAACCTTTATCTCTATATATCTCCACACTACTGTGCAAAAGATAAAAAAACAGCACTTCCATTATTTTCCAGTCAGATTTACCATTAAGTACAAATTATTAATTTTACAGCATCAGGAAGCTGACATAAAACATATACATAACAGAAAATTAAACAACTAAATACAATACCCATCATATAATGTTCACCCTTCACCTTTATTACAGCTTCCATTCTTTTCAGGGGACTCACTCTCAGTTTTTAAAGAAATCTGCAGGGATATTTTTTCACTGTTTAGCATTTTCTGCTTCTCACCATCCCAGTGATCCTAATTACACACTCCACGGTCCATAAAACTTACTCCACATCTCAGATGTCCAGGTTTTGCTGGGAGGACACAGCTGTAACTCGATAGTTTTAGAATTAGAAGGACAGAAGAGTTGAAGTTGAAGTGGAAGGTGCAAAAGAATGGAGAAATTAAATACTGATATATTTATTATTATGATTGGATTTGGAGGCTTTAACAACATTTTCTGTAAAATTCTTCTGCTTTTTTTCCTGGCAAGGTAAAATGAATACCTTGGCTGTTTTCAGCTATTAAATATTAAATAAATTAAAGGATGAGTTTTTATAGCATTGTTGTCTAGTATAGTATTCTTTTATTGATATATGAATTTACATATAAAAATTTCATCTCTTGAGTTTGTTAAATTTAAAAACTTTATTTAAAAATTGCTGTCCCACATTTTCACAACACAAAATACAAAGTGTTTTAGTCCATAGGCGAAGTCTTATTTTAGCCACACCTACACTTTAGAGCAGGAAGTGAGACTGCAAATAAATGTGTCACAAAGTGTGAGAATCAGTGTGGAACGATAAGCATGGTCTAATTGTTTCTGAATTCTGCTCAAAATGATTTAAAATTGTCACTACTGAAACAGTCACTACTGAAATATTTGGTCCATACAGTCCATAGACAATCCATAGACAGTCTATACAGTCCATAGACAGTCTATACAGTCAATGCATAGAATCAAAGCTGCAGAAAAATCCCCATTTTAAATAAACTGGTTTAATAATGTTACAAAAAAACTGCATTCTCATAAATCCACCCATTCAGCTTACAGCAGTTCAGCTCTGCCCATTCATGCTAAATTTATAAAGAGTGTTGCAGACTGGACTGCTTTTTTAATGAGGGCACCAAACAAAACAGAGGTAATTTGCATAAATCAGTCTTAAAGGAACAGTAACCAGAGATCTTTTAACTCTAAGAATAAAGAAAGGTTGGGAAATTGTCATGTAAATATGAATTATGCCACCAAAAAAGTAGGATATGGGCTCTTTAAGCACCACAGTTGCTTTTCACCCTGAACAACAGGCACTGTAAATTGTTATGGGTACATTCCTCTTGGTTGTACCCATGAGGCTGCAGAACTGATGTGAGGTTGTTACCGTAGATGCTGATTTTCTGCCAGCAGGACTGATTATGTACGCTAATGGCAGAGGTGAATTGGTGAGCTGTGAAATGGCTTTCTGTGTTCTCCATCTTCCAGCGTGATATTAAAGCACATTTTGATCTGAGGAGGAGGGCAAATATTCAGAGCCATGAGAGGCAGATAAGAAACTTGAATGTCTTGAATTCATCTGCAGCTTTTGTGAATAACAATGAAGTCGGTGAGTGCCGTGGACATTTCAGTAAGTGCGATGAAGTGATGGAGATTTGATGGGATGTAATTCCATAATTGTTCCTTGGTGAGAGCTGCAGATAAAATTCATCCGTTTCAGATGCTTCTATAAAAGTATGCAAATTGCATATATCTCACAGTTCTATAATGATGGCAGTGCTGAGGCTAATGTTTCAGTATTCCTCTCTGTCAGCATCTGAACTTTCGGTGCTTAATATTCAGTCATCCTAAGGCTTATTATTAAGTAAATGAATTATTTTGGAGCTACTACAAAAAGTTATGTTATGTAGTTGCAGAATCAGGCTAGTAAATTGTAAGAAACAGTTTTTAAGTATTCTGGAGCATCAATATAGAACAAAATACTGTTTAGAGCCTTTGAGATGTAAACAAAGTCATTCAAAATGATTTAATATGGAATGGTGCATTTTATAGAAACATGTAGACTCAGGTTTCTCCACAGTGGTGGTGATAGGAACCAGGAGTCGCAATGTTGTAACACAAATATAGCCTTTTTATTTGTTATCCAAAATAACCAGCAAACCTTCACCCATCTTCTAAGTTTTATATGTAATGCTGATAATGATAAAATAGTGGTAAATCCAAAAGAGTATATTTTCTTTGGGTGAATTTTTTTATGGATGGACCAATCAGTGTTTTTGGGGCCAATACTTATCGCCGATTGCCTTTCAGCATGATCGCCCGATAGCCATTACAGATCGAGGGAAGGGCTGGCTGCTAAAGTTAAAGACGGAGAAGACAAACTACACTTTTACAGATCTCCGGGCCACAAAACCCCTCACAAACATTGTACAGACAAATGCCATCACATAATGTTGGAGAAAACAACTCAGCAAGTAATGTAACTAGCTAGGTGTGGTTAGCAAACTGTTGCTACTGCAAAGCTAACCAAAACATTACAATGGGACAAAACAATGCTGACCTACTGATTCTGTGAAATAGCAAAATAAGTGAATTTTACCCATCTGTCAAGCAGAAACATAGCGACTTTTCCCTTTTAATCCCTTTTCACACCTTCAACTCCCTCAAAAGCTGAAGCCAGCTTCTTTTTTGCCACCTTCTTGTTCGAATTTGCAGCATTTACATTCTGTCTCCCCTTATATAACCAAAGCCTACGTAACTGGCACAGCTAACAGGTCAAAACAGTCCTCCTCCTACACGGTTTTTTAATGAACTGATACGGCTAGAAGGGCTGACATACAATCGCTTTTGTAAGTTAGCTCTGTACCTTATTTTTATTTTCAGCCCCTGCAAAGGCTGTATTAGTGCTCGGATGCTAATAAGCTAACAGGAACTAATCCTCAAAGCTTTGACAACAGACTGTTTTAATTAAATCTACACATTCACACAGTGGGTTTACAGCATAACAGGAGCCAAATATGTAATATACTTCTGGAAAAATGTTTTTCATTAGTCAAATAGATATGATAAGGCTGAAGTTGGCTTTCTTCTTGTTTCTTGTTTGAACATCCCCATTCCACCTTAAATGGTGCAGCAGTTACATTCTGGCGCCTCAGGCAAAACGGCTTGTATATTTGACGTCACTGATCAGCTCTCAGCATCGGCTAAGTTAAAGAAATATCGTTCGATCACATATTTGTGCTGCAGATCAGTCAATACCAATACATAGCCGATGGATCCTTCCATCTCTGTACTGTTTTGCCTTCCAAAACCCTGAAACAATTTACAGGATTTATTTTAAAAAAATAATAATTGTAGGCCAAAACTTTATATCAAAACTACCATTAAGCAACATCTCAGGTATCAAGAAGTGTATTCATCACCATTTCCTGCAATAACTTCACGTAATATAGCTTTTAGAAGCATTAAACGTATCAGACGTCTGGTTCCCATCATCACCACTGTGAACAGTTCTGACTGCAATTTTCTTTAGAACGTATGATTTCACACCAAACCACTCTAAATGACTTTATTTATATCTTAACCATTAATTAAGGCTGAAATAAAAAAATAAATAAATAATCGTAATTCTCCTTTAATTTGACATCATCATCCACAGCGCGCAGCTGCGAGGAAACAGGAAGTAAACAATGTAGAACACAGAAGTGAGTAAGTAGCTGGTTAGCTAACTAGCTGACTTCTTCTTCATCTTAGCGACGTTTCTTTAGTTTTCTTGTCTTTGTGCAGCCTGGCAAGAGAACCGCAGCTTTAGATAGCATATTTAGTAACCTCACATGCTCGTTTAATATTCTAATCTATCTTTTCCCCCTCCCTTTCCTATTTTTGCCCTGTTGTTAGCTAGCTGGGCTAAATTAGCTTACGCCAAAAATACTAGCAGAGCTGATTAGCTAGCAAACCTAGCTAACTTGGCTAACCTACTAGCCTAAGATTAAATTTTTAAAGTATGTTTAATCTACAGAGCCTTATCAATGTGATTTTATATCGTGTACATGGCAGCCGGTGTACGAAGCTGAAGTCAGTTTCATTCGCCAGCTCCAATTTTGACGTTCCACCTTAAATGGTGCAGTAGTTGGATTCTGGTGTCCCAGGCGTTAAAATAAGAACTGCTGCACCATTTAAGGTGGAACGGGAAAATTCGAACAAGAAGCTGGAGAATAAGAAGCGAACTTCAGCCTCGCAGCCAGTGTTGTCAAGTTTGACTGGTTGCATTTGATGGCTAACAGTGCTTCTTTTAGGTATAGATACTAACTACTAACTTAAACTTCAGCTAAACCAAAATACACTCTTAAAAAAGATGGTTTCTTAGTAAAGGGAATGGTTCTATTTAGGACCATGAGTTCGAAATAGATGCTTTTACATGCTTAAATGTTTATTTATTTATTTTTTTGCATGGTGAAACGGTTCTTCAGATTGGTGGAGAATGTGTTGTATATGGTTCTATATAGAACCTTTTTGAAAGTGGCTCTATATAGCACCAAAATGTGTTCTGCTATTCGTAAAAGCTTGACATCGTAACAATAGAAGAAACTCATTAAACATGAAATGTAGAACTTATCATTCTAAGTAGAACCATTCCCTTTACTAAAGAACCTTTGAAGAACCATCTTTTGTAACTAGTCTAACTAGAGCAAAGTTGTTTTCCTTGTCTAAGGCTGTGTTACTGGACTGGATTAGCCATAAAAATATGTAGTGTATTGTGGTGTCAGTAATCCTGCGCTCCATTTCTATCAGTGGTGGATGGAGTACTCTAAAGCCGTACTCCATTGTTTGTACTCCAGTATTATTATTCCAATGAAATGAATTTTATACAAGCATTATTACTACCATTAATAATGACTAAAGTAGATAAAATAGCCATTTTATTTGCTATCCAAAATGACCAGACATCTGGCAGTGTATTCATAACCATTTTATGTAATAACTTTCTGTGAGGGAGTTTTTAGAGGCAGTAAACTCTTCTATGTCTAGTTCCTATCACCACCAGTGTGAACAATTCTGACTCAGTAAGATTCTTTAGAAAGGAGCGTTTTACAACCCCAATTCCAGAAAAGTTGGGGCACTGTGTAAAATGTAAATAGATGTTAATAAAAACAGAATCTCATAAGATCTCATTAAGATCTCATAGACCCATATTTTATTCACAATAGAACATAGAACTCATATCAGATGTTGAAAGTGAGACGTTTTACCATTTGATGAAAAATATTAACACATTCCGAACTTGATGGCAGCAGCGCATCTCAAAAAAGTTGGGACAGGGCCATGTCTACCATTATGTAGCATCCCCTCATTTTTTAACAACAGTCTGTAAAAGTCTGGGAAGTGTGGAGAGCAATTGCTGGAGTTTTGGGGGAGGAATGTTATCCTATTCTGCTCTGATGTAGGATTCTAGCTGCTCAACAGTCCTGGGTCATTTGTAAAAAAATGGGTATATGAGATTTGCAAATCATTGCATTTTGTTTTTATTTACATTTATTAAGATTTTACACAGCGTCCCAACTTCTTTAGAATTAGGCTTGTACATCAGACCATTTGAAATTACTTTGTTTACACGGTAAAAGTTGAATTATGCAGAAAATTAAAAAAAATGTTGGAATGTCTCTTTTAGGAAAAATACAGGACTGAGTAAATAGCAGATTACTTTCACAAAACTTCGGAAGAAGTGAAAGTATCATTTGAGAATGCTCAGAGGAGTATAAATCCATTCAATCCATACTTTCATACATGGAAATGAGTAAATGGAAGTCATTGCTGTTCATCAAAGTGAACAAAACCTGTCTGTACCTCTGTATGGCTGACTTTCTGCATATTTTGAAATCTTCTGTTAGGTTGGGGTCACTATATTGCATTTTTATAACGACATATAACTGCAACTTGGAAGCTACTCCGATGAGAACTTCAGTGCTGATGTTGTAGTGTCTTTTGTGCTATCCTGCACTTATTATGTGCTCTCTTTGTAAGTCCAGATTATGATGTCCACTCGAAACGGGATGTCCAGCGGAGGAATCTCAAACAACAAGGTGAAGTATTCCAGAGTAGCAGACAGCGATGAAGGCTACATTGATCTACAGGTGAGGAACACTGAGGTGTTTTCAAACACGGCTTCACGTTTCAAGCTTTTGTTAACCCTTAGAATCTACAGTTATTACTGTTGCTTTGCTGTACTGGTTGAATGTAGTTGCATGATTACATAATTAATTACATTGTAATGACTTGTGTTTGTACTTGATTCTGTTTAAGTTTTGCATTTGCATTTTTACTGTTTATTTTGTTGGCAAAAAACAGGCAAAAACATGGCAAAAATGTTGAGTTTGGGTTTTCTTTCTGCAAAACGACTGTACACACAATAACTTTTCATCAATTTCAAATCATAATAAATTTCCTCTCTCATAAACACACAACGCATCAATTAAAAATTTACCATCTGCATTTTTGAAACAACTTTTTTGCTTCTTTCAATGAGCTGAGAGTGAGAAATAATTTATTTAAAATGATACGAATTTGTTATTACTGACAGTAACTGCCTATGGGTTACTATTACTGGCTCTCATAATTATGACTGTTCATTGTTTAACAGTTCAAGAGAAGTCCACCCAAAGTTCCATACAAAGCCATCGCACTGGCAATGTTCCTGTTCCTGGTTGGGTCTTTACTGATTATTATCGGGTCTTTGCTTTTGGCTGGCTCCATTGAAGTTACAGTGAGTTAACAAAACAAATTTCAGCACCTTTTGCACTCGGTCACCTTCCTGTCCCCACAAACATTCTAAGGTAATTCTGCAGTTGTAAGATCAAAATTTCTATTGGCTTCCATTGTGATAATCAGCTTAACTGAGCTGAAGATCAGCCAGTAGCTTGTCTCAGCCTTCCCAATGCTGATAACTGGATTCTCTGCATCCTTTCCATGTTCAATTAAGTAAATCACATCTGACTTAGGGAGATTTATTTAGATGTCTGTCTGATTTAATTTAATTCACTATAAAAACTTATATTAGAATTTTCTCATACGGCAGCCCATTCATTTCAGCATATCTTTAAGCATATTAGACATTCGAAATGGGTATATATTATCTGAATATTTTCCTTTTTTTCATCAGCATCGGGATCGCACGATTCCCGTCCTCATCATCGGAATCCTTATATTTCTGCCTGGTTTCTATCACTTGAGGATCGCCTATTACGCCTCCAAGGGTTACCGTGGTTACTCATATGATGACATTCCAGACTTTGATGATTGACCCTACTGCAGGCAAAGATGGCCAGCATGCTGACCAGCCATCTGAAATCTCTGGACACCTGCTGTTTCCTTTGTGTCCTTATGGCCAAAGCTGCATGACATGCCTTTGTATTTTCTCCCTGTGTGAATCTTTAGTTTTCCTCCAGCAGGGAACCCGCAGCCAGCTTTAGAATATCTGAGGTACAGCATGAGCACAGGAGTGTATGTGCTTCCTTTAGTTCTTGTACCAAAGTCTGAATGTACCTCTGTGTTATACAAAACAGAGTATTTATTTTAGCACTATGTATGAAAAGCCAAAAAGAAATAGTGGACATCATCTTATCCATTTGCTCTATTTGCTCCTATGAGGAGTTTATGTGATGATGTGTATTGAGCTGCGAGAACCAGTGTTGTACTTTGTCAGTGGTTTGAAAAATGAAGAAGCAACATAATAGTTGTGGTTGATTTTAGGGTTTTGAGAATTTATTCACCATTCAGCATTTCTGAGAGCGCCAATGGTCTGTTTATGGGTACTTTCAGAATAGAAACATGCATAATTAATTATTTTTAGGTTAGTAATGCTTGTTTGATTAAGAGTAGGGCTGTCATGTTTAATTAAAATGTATCTTTTCATTGAACTGGTGATCGTTATTGGCGGTTTGCGTAATTATATAATGATAGATGCACTGATATGGGAATTGTGAGCTGGTATCTGATATGTATATATCTGCTGATGTTGAGGTAGATAGATTAACATTTATCAGATTTATACATTTGGGATTAGATCCACCAAGATTAGCATTACAGAGAAATATAACATTAATTTCTACTGGGTTAGAAATACAGATGTTTTAGTGTATTAACCCAGCATCACCTAACATTCTGCTCTTCAGGAGTACAAAAATATATCAAATACTGATTTGACATATCAGCCAAATCTGTCAATTTTTTAAGTATATATCTGCCGATACCAATATGATTCTGATATCGTGTATATCTATTTATAATGCACCTTTAAAGATCTCCTACTGTCCTCTGTTACAGTAAGCCTAATGGACACATCCATTTATATACATTTTTTGGCATCATAGTATTCTTATATTTTTTAATCATATCTATTTGAAGGCTGTATCAGTTATTTTTTTGTTCTCAATAAAGCATTTTGGAGTCGTTGAAAGGCTGTACGTGGTTTGTTAACATTCAGTTAAGTCAGTTTGCATCACATATCTTATAAGTACTCGATTTATTGTCAAATCAGTTAGTGACAGTGCTAATTCAGTTAATAGTGTTATGAGGGACAACGAAGTTCAGAGGCATAAAAAAGCAATGCTGTACTGCCCTCTAGTGGCAATTAGCAGCCATGAGATGCCTGTGACCACTCAGAGTTATGCTTGATTTCCAGATAAAACTATAGTTATATTGCTTTAATATGAGAACGTGTACATATTTATTACCACCAATAAGTGTTGATGGGGATAAGCAGAGCTTTTCAGTCTGAATGCAGCAAACCCACAGCTTTGAATAGTTTACAGTTTACTCAGACACACTTTGGTCAAAATCATCAGCTTTTCATAAAACCTTTTCTGAGCTGAATCAGGTTTCACCAGGCAGGGAAACCAAGAACCTGCAGAGCCACTGCACTTCCACAGAATGTGTAACTTTTTGCTCTTGTAGTTTATGTGGATCTAGTTACATTCTTCTGCTAACCTTGTATGTATTTGCCTGGCAACCAAACAGGCTAATGGAGCTAGCAGTGAATGAAAGCTAGTAGCCAGCAATTAGCATGAATGTGTTTGGCTATTGTTAATTGCGGCTGTTCCATTTCATTCATTAACAATATTAGCATTATTGCCTCAGATATACTTTATGTATAAACCAGAAAGACGGTAATACATTCATAGACCTCAGAAGTCGTACCAGAGAACTTGTAGAGAGGAGAATTACCGCCCTGTAATGCCTTCTGGGTTTCTCAAACGCTAGATGGAGCTCCCGAGTCCAAAACGAATGGGTTAAGAGGGCGCATTTCAGAAAAACCACAGTTTATAAATGCTTAAATATTTTTAATGTAAAGGAATACATTCATAACACGACCACAGAACAGCATAAAACATTTTCACACATATGTTATATTTTTAAGCTCTTTTTAACTCTGTTCAAAATGGTGTCTCATGTACGTTCATGACGTCAGTGACCACAAACAGCCAATGAGCTGCTCCGCTCGCCAGCCAATCAGCACTCAGTAGCAGTAATACTAGCGTGTTCTTTGATTTTTTTAGTAAAATACGGTTCCTACTGTTTTAAAATCAAAGGAAGTTTCTGGGCGAGTGATTGGAAAAAACTTCGTTTTTAGCCTTTTAGCTCCATTCACCCCCATTGACTGAAGTGTCGCTCGTGGGCGCCCTCTGGCATTTTGCAGTCATGTTTTATATATTTTGGGTAAATAGGAAGAGGCCACGCTCCCCTTAAACCAGCTCTGGTCCTACATCGTTCTGTAGTCGGTGTCATGCCCATATTAGGAGCTCCAGGTTTAGCTGTTTTTCTTTTTTTCTCTATGGCAAAAATAAATGCCATTTTATCACTAATGTGCCCTGTGGTGAACACAAATGTTCCAAAGTTGATAGATTTGGTCTGTGTACATTTTTCCCCCGATTGTCACTGGATTCTCTGAAATGCAAGGTTATTTAGTAATCAGAGTATGAATACAGCTGCACGCATGCTACGAGCAAGCTAACGCTCCTGTGCACTGAAATGACATCACACAAAATCTGCTATTAAACTTCAGCACTATAATATACCAACACTCAAACTGCAGCCTAAAACTGCCAAACTGCCTCTAAACTACCACATTTGACAAAGTGTGCTGGTTTATGTGGTGTTTTGGTGAAGATTCCAGTCTCATAATGTCAGTTAAGTGAGCAGAACTGTTAACCTAGCTTGTGTGTAACAATAGTTGTATGTTAGGTCCTTAATGACAATGCAACTTTGAGCTTTGAAACCTTTTAGTTTTTTACAGGATGCAACAGCAGCGATTTTCACAAACACAATTCATTCAAATTTCTTATTATGGGCATCACAGAGACTACAGAATGATGACAGAACATCAGAGGTCAGTTGGGAAATGCATCACAGTCCCCCCTCATATACTCATATCAAATGGAAAATAAAAAAAAATAATACAAATGTATATATTAGCATGTATAGGCATACACAAAAGTTTGGGCACCCCTGCAAAGTTTTTTGTTGGTTTCCTGAGTAAAAGTAAGTTTAAACATCCTTTACAGAGACCACACTTTAATGCACAATTACTGTTTATTTGCTGTATTTAACATATTGAGAACAACCCCCCCCCCCAAACATGATAAATTTAGCAAATAAATAGAAACTTGCCTAAAAAATGTAATGTAGAGGATGTATTAACTTGTCAATGTCATGTAAAGGATGTATTAACTTATCAAAAGAAAAAAAAATATTTGACTGGGGTGGTGTGTATTAAATTAACTATTTTTAACTGAACTATTCTTTTAAGAGTCTGCACTTTAAACTGCATGTTTTAAGGGTTATTTGCACTGTGAAATGGTTCTTCAAATTGCTGGAGAATGTGCTGTTGATAGTTCTATATAGGACCATTTTGAGGATGGCCTTCTGTTGTTTCAATGTCAAGCATGTAACAATAGAAGAAAATTTTTGTTGATATATAGAATCCTTTTCAAAATGGTTCAATATAGAACTATTTTCTTTACTAAAGAACCCTTGAAGAACCATAATTTTTGCAGTCTACAGCTCATTCAGACATTTCTTGGCATTAGTGGAGAGTAGAATTGGTACATGTCCTAGAAAGCATTGCCTCCATGAGTCATTGTACTGCCGGTGACTTTTACAGCCCCACCCAAATCACTCTGATATTATTAATTTTATTTGATAGTTTGCCATCTGCCCTTAATCCTTGCTGTGATTTACACGGCCTGGTTCACAAACAACAGAGAAATCGAGGACAAAGTACAGAGTGAGCAACAGGCCATAAACATGCATGAGAGACAAACACACCTGCTTTGCATTGTGAGGAGAGGCGAAACATGACTGAACGTCTGTCCGTCCAAAGCTCTCCAGTGTTTACAGTTACCAGCCAATACTTTTAATGGAGGATTGATTAGTTTAGCTAGTAAATCCTTCATTGAATGAAATGAAAAACCAACATATTTAACTTTTTTTGTAATGTTTTACAGTATTTCTGTGTATTTGTGTGTTTATTGTAACATTTTATAGTGATTTTACTGGCAGAAACACAATTAAGATAAACTATTTTTATGACTGACTAAGACCTTTTTACAGTACTGTATACATACAGTATCAGAAATGCAGCTTTCTTTCTGGTAATTAGGGAAAGATAAACTTCTCCCAAACTCTTTTCCTTGAGCTCTTTGTAATCAGTGTTTCTCTTTTTTCTCTGGACAAGTGGTCTTCATTACAGACGTTTAATGCAGAAGATTTTTTTCCACGTATTGTCTGTGCAGATAAGATCCTTTTATTTATTTACTTACCTGTTTGTCTTTCTGCTGCTCTGAATTCAGGAAGCAGTTTCTAGTCGCTCACTGACCCTGAAGGAGTGTGTGTTTGTGTGTGTGTGCGTGCACTTGTTTTTGTACACCTTTAGGACAATGAAATATATATATATATCATTATTACATATATGTATAAATGCTCTAAAATTGTAATTTTACAGTTTACAGTAGTAGTTTACTTTACAATAGCAACTTTTCAACTTTGAATAGGAGTCAATGGACCAATATATTTTTCCAAGTGCTTTGGGATCATTTCTATTGATCCGTTCATCATATGACACATGACATATTAATACAATGTAAAGAACAGCTGGCATTTTTATATAAAATAAAAAATGGACATACATGGTTTTCTACTGACAGCAACAACATATATAACACAAACACACACACACATATGGGACATTTTATTTTTACATAGCTACTTACATATTATAGGATAACATATAAAACAGCTATCTTATAATTGCGTACAAAAGTATATTCAATACATATAATATGCAAGGAGCGTCTTATACTATGAAATACTACTGACACTTAATACAGTTCCTACCTTGTTGTATATAGATACTCACGTATATAGAATATACATAGGACTTATGCATGACATCACGTCCCGACATTGTATAAAAACAAATCCCTGTGTCTGTGTGTGTGTGTGTGTGTATATATATATGTGTACTTGCATGCGCGTGTACGCGTGCGCGTTCGCGTCGAATGAAGAGAGAGGGAGCGAATGAGAGAGAGAGACAGAGCGAGAGAGAGAGAGAGAGAGAGAAGAGAGAGAGAGAGAGAGAGAGAGCGCACCGGCTGCTGAGGAGTCGAGTTGCTGGAAGTGCTGAAAGTTTGTGTTTCCGACGCAGCTGATGTGCTCGCAGCAGGAGAAACTCGGTTTAAAAGAGCTTATCTGTAGGATTTCTACAGGAGAAACTCGGTTTAAAAGAGCTTATCTGTAGGATTTCTACAGGAGAAACTCGGTTTAAAGAGTTAATCTGGGTTTTTTACATGTGCCGCTGTGTGGAGAAACCTTCTCTGGAGCTCCGTGTGATGAGGATATCAGCTCAGCTCCTGGAGTCATCAGCACTGCTGGAGTAACAGATGATCACTGGGCTTCGTTTCCACACCTCGAGGATGTTCTGAGTGTCGGTCTCATGCGCCCGTGAGTAAAAGAGCAACATTCCTCTCTAAAATCTCCTACCGTAGAGAAATATCCTCTTTAAATGGTGATTATTCACATGCAGCCTTTAGCTGAATGAGTAAGTACTCTTAGGCTGGGCGGTATAACAATGTGTTAGACATATCGTGATAAATTACCACGTCTGCAAATGATAATTAGTAGGACTTCTAGAGTATTGAACAACTGCAGGGACATAAAAAGACAGATTTAGATCAATTATAAAGAGTCTGTAAACAACAACAACAACAACTGGTATATCTTAAACTACAGTAACAAATAGCTGATCGGATGTCAATTAACATATTTAATCCAATTATTTTTGGCATTTGTTTGCTTGTACTCATAGTTTTCCATAACGTTTTTGAATTTGTCACTACTGTTGTGTTTGTGCAACTTATAGGTTTCATCTCATAAATATTAATATTGTGATATATGTACTATTTAGTGAATACTTTTTTGCTATATTGCCCCCTCTTACTATACCTGCAGCTTTCTGACTTTCTCATTTTAGTTTAATCATTGACATGCCCTGTTAGAGAAAACTACAACTCATGAAATGATGGTATCCTTCTATTAAAAGTGCAATTTGACTAAAGAGATAAGGTTTGCTAATAAGTGTCTTTCCAGCTTCAATGTATTAACCCCTTAAATTCCCAGGCTTATTATATATTCATACGAAGGCTTATTATTCAGTAACTACAGGGACTTCAATGCAAACTGGTTGAGCTATTCTTAGGTAATAGAACTGTGTATTAAAACTTTGGGCCTGCCGACGGGCTCTAGCCATTTAAATCGAAGTTCATCATTAACGCAATGTATGAAAATCTTAAAAATGACAAAATAAAAGGTGAATGAGGTTTCCACCTCAACTCACATATTTTTTTTTATTTATTGCTCTACATTTCATTTGAACATGGCAGCTGTGCTTTTCTTCATGTAACAATTTCATAAATGGACCAATAGAAATGCTCCAAAATCACTCTGACTAAAATCTCTTTACTTTAATGTGCAGTAAGTCACAAACATTTTTTCCCTCTCCTGTGAAATTAGTATTTTTAGAGAAGCATGTTTGTTTGTTTATTTATTTATTTGGACAGTGAAGGTATATTAATGTTAAGAAAAAAATTATATTTTATCTGTGTGCTTGAGTTTTGCTTCCCCATCACATCAAATCATTCAGTCATAAAAGTAATGTAGTGTCAAATTAAGTGACATGCTAAAGAGGAAGTGATGTCATTTGAGTCTTTAAGTTCAAAAGCTGGCAAATGTCTGACACATCACACAGAAAGACAGAATAGAAAGTTTTAAAAAATGTTTTTTTGCCATATTCACAAAGTTGTGTTATTTACTGCTGAAAACAGATACTAGAAGGTCTAACCTTGAAAACAGGGAGTGTGGCAGTAGCTCTGCGTGAAATGTAACAGCCAGTGAAAACTAATGGAACTTTTCTTAGGTTATAGAAGTGTCTAAAAAACTTTGGGCCTGCCGGTGGACTGGTAACGAGTTAAACAGGTGCTAGTAGAACATGCTTTTGCTCATCTTCTTATTCCCATAGCAACATCATATGCAAAATGTGACTGTAAGACTATTTTTGTTATTGATTGATTTGATTTATTGATCTTAAGCATTTTTGATTACAGAGTTGTGTTAAAATGTCACAGAACTCGCAGCTTTATTATTTGAATTCTTTCTTGGTGACCATTTTGAAGCATATAAACAATTCACAGTGAAAGCTAGCCAGGCTAAAATGCAGCCTCCATATGGGGGGGTTAGTTTTAACACAGTGCTACAAATAAGCTTCCTACAGTGAACAATGAGAGACGTCTATATCTCCCCATATGAGTTCAAAACAGTTAAGCTTATGGAAACTTTTATGCAAAGAATTATCAAAAAACATATCATGAAATATATATATATATATATATATATATATATATATATATATATATATATATATCATGTATATCGCTGCTGTGAAACAAAACCTCCAATGATCATTTTTCTCATTTTTCAGTTTTTGACATCATTTGAAATTGCCTGTTGCCCTTTACATCATGTATAAATTCCGTGATAAACTGACTAAAGGAAACGACCCAAAATCACTTGAAAAAAAATCTGGTTCCATTGACTTACATTAAAAGTAAAAAAAGTATTTTTTTTGCTTCTCCTGTGAAGTTATTATTTTGGAGATGGAGGTTTTGTTCCGACAGCAGCGATATGTTACTTAAAAGAATGTGTCCTGTTACAGCACTTTAAAAAATTATTTAGCAAAGGCTGCATGGGGTAAGGTGATAGATAGTGTCTGGGGACTTTAACCTGCAGCTTGTCCTCAAAATGTGGAAAATCGCATTTATGTAACATTTATGGATTCATCTTCATCTGCCAAAACTGGATCTTCTCAACTGCATGGGCCTCACCCCAAAAAAACGATTATAGCAGGCAGTGCCAGTTAAAATGTGGAAAAGTAGATTATGGCCAAAATGGTTTTGTGGGAAAGAGAGACAAAATTAGTGATGCTGCATAGATAGTACGTTTTTTTATAGGTTGTATTAAGGGGGCTGTGAAGTGTTGCTGATACTGTTGCACATGCGAGAAAAGGAAAACTCCATCTGGTCCAAAGCCCAATCAATACTGGGGGACTTTAAACACTCCTGGGAAAGCCAGGATCATTCCAGTGCGCTAGAACATTATAAAGCAGCTTATATCAGTCTTTATTTCTCTCAGGGTAGCATCCAGTGGGGCCTGGATGACCGATGTCATGCTCAGTATCAGAAAGATGTGTTGTTTTTTTTTAGTTCTAATAGGTTATTCTTGATTGACTGTTCAGTTAGTTATGTTTTCAGGCTGTGTAATTAATGAAACACATACTTTTCAACACTTTCTCTTTGCTATTGTGGGTGCATTGGATCTGGTGACTGCATGCCATTAGCTTTTGCCTTTGCTTTGCAGATGCAGGTGTATCGATAGCTAAAACTGCTCATTCAAAACCTGCAGTAACTCATTGCTAATGCTAATGCTATGTAGCTATTGCACCCTTAAATTACTTAAAGAGGAATTCCACCAGTTTTTCAAAATTTCTAAATAATTCACTCTTTTGAATTGGTTAATTGCAGAACAACCTACACACATGTGATAGGAACCAACACAAATACAGCCAGTTTATGTGCTAATTCAAAAGCACCAGTGAACCCACACGTGTCTTCTGAGTTTTTATATATAATGTTGATGATGGCAAAATAGGGTTTCTTTGAGAACTATTTTGCCTTACAACACCCTGCATGTACCTCTCCACCCACTATGAATAGGTTAAAATAAATTGATTAAGCTTAAACTTTGTCACACAACAGTGTGGCAGCCAGGCAGCACTGATTTTATTGAATGACTGTTTACATCTCAACCATTTAATTATGTATAATTCTTGATAAATTGGTAGAGTTTCCCTTTAAGAAGGCAGTATGCATTGTGGTCCATGCCATTACTATATATATATATATATATATGTCTTTTTTACTATATATATATGTAATGTCTTCTGTGACATTACAAAAACAGTGAATTCATAAACAAGCTGTTTTTGCTGCTTAAAATCCATTGAAGACTGAATAGACTGGGGAGCAAGTTGAATTTCAGCGTGTTTTTCAGCAGTGGTGAATAGTCCCTTTCTCCAGGGTTCATCCATTCACTTCAGCTAGATTGTGCTAGTAAAGTGACTCATGATTAACTGTCCACATCTCACATTCCTTTAATAACTAAACACACCTTGGTACACAAACGCTCACAGACCAGTCACTTCCTTGAAATGATAACAGCCTACAGTCACCTGCATTGTTTTGAGTGACCCTAATCATGGTGTGAACGATTCTGTTCGATTATGATTCTTTAATTAACCCTTTACATGGCCAGAGCCCACCAGAGGGCCCAAAGTTTTATTACACATTTCTATGACCTAAAAATAGCTCAACCAGTTTGCTCTGAAGGCCCTGTAGTTGCTCAATAAGAAGCCTTAGTATATAGTAAGACTGGGATGTTAAGAAGTGAAATGATTCAGTGTATAAGGAGATACATTGCACTCTGAATCAATTTGATTATTTTGTATTTGAATACACAAATGTGACTGGAGAAGCTGTTTCACAGAAGCGGGGAATTTTTATGCTTGAAAATAAGCAATGTTTTATTCTGACCAAGAAAGATTATCATTATATTGACAATAATCAATGCATTTAAATAACTAATTTCAGTTTTTTATACATCCCTAGACACTAAATGTTTATTTATGCAACCAAAGGTGACAAATGACAAGCTGTTTGCACAGAGGATCTAGATTTGTTTTTTTGGGGGGGGGGGTCATTGTTGGCAGTCCAAACAGATTTGTTTGACCTCTCTCTGTCATCGCTGACTTGTTTGTGTTTGGAATCTCCTCCCATCCACTGGCTGAATTTGCATGTGGTTGTAGACTCCCCATGCCACTGTGTCTGTAGGTTGATGAAACCTTCCTCTTCATGATGCAAGGGGGAAATCTATGAATCTCATCAGTTCTGATTGGAAATGTTATGTGGAATCTCTTTAGCGTGTCAGTATTGCACCCTTGGGGAAACCTTGCGTTAAAATTTCTGATTGTGCAAATCCGTATCAAATCTATGTTCAAATCTCTGTTACAGAGAATGGACAATAAGTAATCTCTATCCAGTAATCTCAGTTACGTGAGAGGTTTTTACTAGACGTTTCTTATGTACATCTGGCTGTAGCATCTGTTTGGGCCATGAAAGGGCAAATCTTCCTGGCACTGCAAAGAAGGTAAATGGGTTAGCGTCCCTGGCCTCTGCAAATCATTGGTTTGCCCATTTGGCTGATTAAATCTATGGTAACGTCAGCAGTGAATCTGTTTTTGAACTTAGTGGGGACTCACTGCCACCACTCACCCGTCTGTTTCCTCCTTTCTGCAGACACATGCGGCTGGCAGCTAACGCGAACATGCTGAACAT